CGTCGGATTCTCGCAACACTGTAAAAACTAAAAAGGGCCCCTTAACTACTTTTGCAAATGGCACAGTGTGACATTTTTCTAGGGATATTTTTTCCTATTAGCGCTTGGTAGTTAGTGTAAATTATAAATGTAAGTGTCCCGATATGATTATTGAGTTAAAACCGGTTATTGCTAGATGTCATGAGGCAACCGCATCCATTAACAAGAAGAAAACCCATTAAAGAATTTCGAAGAGAAAAAGCTACAAGAAAAAGGACTAATTATGGGATGCTTATAACTATGGAAATGAGATGATGATGATGACGGTATCGTAATATTATTAATAAAAGGTTGGTAATTGGAAATTTTTGGGGAAGTGGTGGGTGGGTAGAAGTGGGGTTTGTTTGGAGGGGATGGGTTTGTATCACATCTCGGATGTTCATATGAATATGAAAACTATTTAGTATTATTATTATTATTTATTATAATCATCAAAACAGAATTAAAATAAATTGAAAGAAAGGTGAGAAGCTTTTTTCTTTCTCTGCCAAAAGTCAAAATGGCAATGGGGGGCCTCTCTTTCATAGATCATAATGATACCTTCACCGTCGGATTTTGCAGTGTAAGATTTGCACCCAAGATTCATCATCATTGCTCTTGATATTTCTTTTCCCTCCTATTTTCGCTTTCTTTTTCCTCTATATTTTGTTAAAAGATAGAGAGCTCAAAAGGGGTAAAACAATATATAAGTGAAAACCCACCCTAGATAGTGATAGGCTTATGATTTATGTTATCATATTTAATATGCCCTTTTTTCACTTTCTAAAAAGATTTGTGATGGTGGTGGGAGATGATCAATATTTCACTTTTCATTTTGCAATGGCCAAAATGTATCATCCTTGTAAAAGAAAGAGAGAGGGGAAGAAAAAGGTTCATGTATATGTTGGGCACTTGTGGTGGTGGTGATGGATATTATGGTGTACTCATATGCTTAGATCTTACCTTTTATAAGCATATATATTTGCAGTTGCATGCTCTTGTTTTCATTACATATATATGTATGAGTCATCTAGCTTGTTCTCATGTTTGAATGATGAATCTTTGTCATATGCATTTTTGATTCTTATGCATATTCGTTAAACTTAAGAGACTGAGTGATTTAGATTAATAACTCAACGAGTTGTTTTTATTGATGGTTCCTTGACGTATACACTCAAGTTTATCTAGATCCTCGTGAATATTCGATAAACTCAAAATATCGATTTCGGTTTATAACTCATCGAGTTGTTTTTAATAATGTGCCTTTGTCGTATACGTCCAAGTTTATCTAGTTTCTCATACAACAACCAGTGGTTCAGGTTCGGGTCACACATTAAAATAATGTTAATGTGTGCCAAAAGGTAAGCGGTGATCCTAGAAGCCAAAAACTTCTTCTATATATGTTCATGATACTTAAGGGAGCAACCTAAAGGAAATAAACTAATGGGATAAGAACGTTGCATGTGAACCCTAATTTAGACAATGTCCAAACATATATGTGTCCTAAGAGCTTATTGTAAGCAAGGCCAATGGCTAGCTCATAAAGAGGAAGTAGCTAGATTTGTACCCTTTGCGGGCTGCTACGATATTGTTCATCGATCCTGTCCTAGCTAGTGCTGCTTATTGAAAAATGGGAAGGTAGTGGGGAGCGACAAAAGGAAAGGAATGTCGAACTCATGACTCCACTAGTTTTTAAAAATTTATGCCTTTTGGGTATCCACTTTCCATTCTATGTTTGTAGTTGTTGGGAAATGATCCAGGTTGAGCAGAGCCTTTGGGAGGTTTCGCTTTCAAAACAGCTTTGATATGTTTCCATTGAACTCTTACTATAGCTCGAACTTGGTCTTGAATCTTGATCGAGTAGGGGGTTTGTCGAGAGACATGAGTAAGAGGATGTTCAACGACTAGGTGGAAAGACGCAAAGCGTTTGTCAGTCTGGAGATAGTTGCGTCTTATTTCTCATACGGTGGACTTCATCATAATAATTCAGAAGAACAAAAAAAAATTTGTGAGAAACTATCGGTGAGACGGTGACGGTGCATACATAAAAAAAAGATGAGTAAGTTGGAAAACCAATCTAAGTGTGACAAGGATTGCCTCTTAGGGAAATTCGTATCCATTACACACTTTCTTTAAAGATTATCCATTAATTATCCCCCGAAAGTTAACTATCTATACCTTCTTCACCCCTACTCTCAGATGTTCATTTTGTTACTCCCAACTTGTTTTGTCGAAGGATTTTTCAAGGATTCAACGCTTATGTGACTTCTTGCATGCTATATGTTCTGGCTAAATACTCAAATTCGAACACTAGTCCCCTCCATAATTAACGAAAAAAGTTGAAAGTTAAACCTGATCACAGTTTATTTTAATTTAATTGCAAACTCAGGGTTCGTTTGGAAGTTGCGATAGTTTTGTTGAGATTGTCATTATGCATGTATTGTTTGCAATGCATCGTTTTTTTTTGTTTTTTAGCAGAAACAATACATGGATTGTTTCTGTGATGTGACAGAAACTATCACTCATTTTGAGTGATTGTTATATCTCAACTTTTAGTTGTGATTGTTGAGATAGTTGAGTTGAGATTGTTTTGTCTCAGTTTTTAGTTGATGCGACATACACAATCACACATACCAAACGTTGTATTCTACAATACATCAAATTCGACAATACATGTATAATATTATACATGCATTCTCAACAATACATCTATTTAACAATCGCAACTTCCAAACGACTCCTCACTTACATAGTAACCCTAGTACCTAGATAGCTAGGTCCATCCATCCTCCCAAACCTCAACCCAAAACATGGAGAAAGGAATATTGGTGACACTAAATCTTCTCTACTCATTATGTAATGAAACAAATTTATTTTTTCTCTCTCGAAAGAACAATGAGGAAAAGGAAAGCTAGATAGCTAGACAAGAGAGACCCACACAAAATTTTGATATGCCTGTTATGCCATACCCAGATGGACCAACAGGAAAGCTCTCTCTCTCTCTCTCTCTCTCTCTCATTCTTGCTTTGCTAGCTAGCTGGTTGCTCCTGCTGCTGAACCACTACCTTAGAGTATATTGGTTGTTGTCGTCTACTGTTGACCCCTCTGCAGAAAACAGCAACAGCAGCAGCTGCTGCAGCATTCCATTACCTTCTTATTATACCCACTCTGCCTCTGCCTGCCTTTCAGCCTCACGACCACAAACAACTCCTACAGCTCAACATTTCAGACTTTATTTTTTTTTTTCTTTTCATATATGTCATTTTTTAATGAAGTTCCTTTCTGGGTTTCTCTTAGAACCAGAAAAATCCCCCTTTTTGGATAAATTTCTATTTCGTTTCTCAGTTCTAACGAGAGGTAAATGACGGTGGTGATAACAGTAGAAATGCAGCCCTTTACCCTCTTAAGAAAATAAAGCTCAAAACTTTTTCTTATTTTCTTTCATGGGTAAGAAAACTTTTTTTTTTCTTCATATTCTTAACTTTGGGGGAAGGGGGGAAAAAAAAAAAACAGACAAATGGCGGTGGTGGTGCTTGTTTGGCTTTTTTAAGTAAATTAGAAAAAGTTCATCCATCTTAATGGGATGTGGGGATTATCTCATGCTCATTGTGGAACCTAGGTATTGACTAAGTAGAAAAAAAAAATGCAAAGAAAATCAAAACTCGTGGAGCTAGTCCTTGGGTCAGAAGATCTAATGGCACATAATATCAGTAAGAGCACTTCTACTATGCTATATAGCATTGGTGCTTTAATGTACAACTTGAAATTGTACCATAACATAATGTACAAGTTTAAGTTGTACCATAAAAGAATTTGTATAATTATGTTATGGTACAACTTTACAACTTGAAGTTGTACCATCACATAAGGTACAAGTTTAAGTTGTACCATAAAAGAATTTGTACAAAAAGTATAGGTACAATATGAAGTTGTACCATAACGTTAAAGGTACAATTTCAAGTTGTACCATAAAGGCAAAAACCTATAGCACCAATGCTATATAGCATTGTAAAATTCCTCTATCAATAAGAAGGTAAGTTCATGAATTCTTTACAAAAAATAAGGCAATTTTAACAATGTTAAATGATCGTCAACTCAAGTATAAATTTCAGCCCAATCACGTGTGTATATATGTAGCATATTATTAAAATTATAAAATTTGAACTATAAATCTCCATAAAAATCATGAATACTTGATTCTCCGACCATACTATAATTTTTTTTTACTACTACTATACTACCACTATATATTATTATTATTATTATTATTATTATTATTATTATTATTATCATCATCATCGTTATCTCTAGCTACCAAACCTACTTAAAATTATCACACATAAAAAGTGTTCACATCATATATCATCATAAATAAATAATTTTAGAAAATTTATCTAGATATATTTGTCAACCCAAATATAATGAAATATATGCAGTGAATCCTGAACACTTTTTATGTATAATAATGCAAATTTATTCTTCAGCCCAAACAATGAAATAATTAACTACGAATCTGCTGGTTGAATATAATTGGTTTATTTTTCTGAGGTTATGATTATACCAAGTGAAAAATATAAACAAACAGAAAGTCCTCATATGACCTCAAACTCGAGATCTTAAAAATTACATCTTACCTTAATACCGCTAAACTGAAAACACCTATCGACCTCTCTCTCAACATGGTTCTTCCATCCGGTAGTCTCAAACCGTCATTTTTCTATGTGTGTTTTTGTTGGCCATAGCCAGCCAGCCAGCCAATTCAGTGATGGTAACGAGGCGGGACGGGTACTTCAATACTCATGTTCCGTCCCACCCTATTACGGATCGAGATGAGTAATATCAGCGCGGATACGGGGTCGGATGCGTCGAGCCATTGTTACTTGTTATTTGAAATAAAACACGCACAAACTTTTACTTTTTAAGATAAAACGAAGAGAGAAACACTTTATAAATGAAAAATGATGATAATAGAATGGGTAAAATTAAGTCCGACTAATTGGAAAATTAAGTCTACCTAGTCAATGAAAAGTCAAAATAACATAAATACGAATAGATACTATAAGAGAACGAGACATTAATGGATCAATAATGGAACGGGGCGGGACAGGACGAATCAAAAGTAGATACGCATGCTCCATCCCACACTACTGCGAGTCAAATAATACCCGCCCATAACAAATAAGTTCGAATAATACGCAATCAGACGGATTCAAATTGCCATCCCACTGCCAAGTAGCCAACGACCCATTAAACATTAAACATTTAAACTCCTTCCTTTTTCATTCCCTTTCGCCCCTTTTCCCGATCCGAGTTAAAAAGAAAGGGTTAAGGCAAAAGGCTCTCGACTTTTCCTTCCTTTTCTTTCATCGCCCACATATTTCAGCTCATACGCTACCTAAAGCCTATCTCCCCAGCAAGAAAACCAAACAGAGAGAGAGAGAAAGAAACCGCTCTGAAAGCAAAAAAGCTTAGACAGAGATCGATAGAGATCAATTCATTACATGGCGGCAGCTTCCTCCACCACGCAGCTGCTGAGCCTACTAAACCACCACCAGCAGGCGGTGGCTGTTGGCGGCGGCGTGGGAGGATTTCTCGACCACAACTCGGTCCCGGCGACGTCGGAGAATCCCACCAACAGTACTAGCGACAACAACAACAACAACAACAGTAGCAATAACGATGACAACAACAACAACAACAACCACCTAGGTTTCTTCCCTAATTTCCCGCTCCACCAGAACTTCATCTTCTCTCAGCTACTAATGAGCGGCGGCAGCGGCAGCACCAACGACACCAGCTTGTTAGCTTCCTTGCCTCCTTCTCATCACGATCACGATCACCACCACCACCACCACCAAACCCTATCTTCTTCTTCTCCCTCCGCCGCCGCCGCCGCCGTCGTCGTCGCGACTACTAGTTCGCCAACTGAGTTGAAGGCCGGTCTCATAGATCCCGATCTGCTTTCCTTGCAGAGATCCGGTGCAGCTAATAATCTCTGGTAATTGATTGCTTTTTTTTTTTTTTACTTAATTATTATTGGGTACGTATTATGGATTGATTATGGTTGATGGGTTTGGGTTTGAATACTCGAGACCCAAATCATCGATCCGATCTATAGCTAATATAACGCGCCTTTTTCGGCTCATCATGTAGCTAATAGTTGGCTTAATGATGGCTGGATTAGGGTTGTGCGATTGTGCATCGGATCCACAATTCGGATTTTTTTTATTTATCATTATATATGTTTAAAATTCGAATGAGTAGTACTACTGTTACTAGTATTAATCAACAACAACTCAGTTCTTTTAATTATTAGAATTTCTCCAGCGTTTGGATGATCCGATAAGAGTGGCCGGATCTGACATGAACATGATTCACCCCTCTCTCTCTCTTATACGGCATGGTCAAAAACCAGTTCATCGCTATAGTTGCGATGAATTGGTTTTTCAGTAATATTTTTTCGAGTCATATTTTGAAGAGATCTAAGCGTATGTATTTTTTTTAGATTGACTTATTTTTGCCCCCCTAATTCTGAACCTTAGTACTTCTTTATTCCTACTTATTTATAAATTTGGATGTTATCTTATACCATGTATTTAAGCATTCAAGATTAGTGCTTGAAAATGAGTGATTTGAAATTCTAACTGTGCTGATTGATGTTCTTTTACTTCGGGTTAGTCTATGAACTATAAGAAAAAGACATATGTATCGGAACGATAAATAAAAAATAAAAGAACCTAAAGAATACACAGATTTATATGTTTCACTAATACGATATCTCTGAGAAGTAAAAGAGACCGGTTTCAATAAAAATTTGTGACTTCCGTTCTTCAAATCATAGCAAGACAGACATTCCTAGAACATTTTTAGTCCTAAATATCTGCAGACAATTTTTTTTTTTGGAAACTGGGGTCTAGTTATCTAGGTTCATGGCTCCAACTAAAATCATGTCGACATTGCCTCGATATTCGTGTTCTATATGGAATTTGATTTGTTGGATTCCGCTGTTTTTTTTTTTTTTTTTTTGTAGGGGATGGGGAGATTTGGGCGGCGGAGAATGCAGGCTAACAACGCCCGCTGCCGGCGGCAAGAAGACAACCGTCAGCGCTAATTATAGCTATGGCGACAATAATAACAATAGTAACGGCAATATCGACGACGGCGGCCGTCACCGTTTTCCTGGGGTTAATAATAGCGACGGCAGTAACTGCGTGGCCAGTAACGGCAACAATGTGTCGGCGGCGGCGATGAAGCTGAAGAAGATTAGGGCGGCGGGAGGCGGCGGAGGGTGCAGGAAGAAGGTGAGGGAGCCGAGGTTCTGTTTCAAGACGCTGAGCGACGTTGACGTGCTCGACGACGGCTATAAGTGGCGGAAGTACGGCCAGAAAGTCGTCAAGAATACCCTCCATCCCAGGTAAAACATATACACCTTATTATTTTCTTTTTTGCCGTTAATATTAGTGATGATTTAAATTTGATCTAGCTTTAGTACGAGATAGATTCGAGTTGTCGTAATTTTATTTTGATCGTTTTGTCTTCTGATGAATACTAACGTTAGCACATTACTACTAGATCAATACATACCGCGAGTTCAAACTCGCTTAAATTTAGTTGTAGATCTCTTCCAAAATAACATTTATGTAACTTCTACGAACCAAACAAAATTTGATCATAGAGGTAATTAAGCCTGAAAAGTTAGATCTAAAATGGCTTTTTGGTGGTGGCTCCTTTTTTTACTTTGGTTTCATGGGATCCGGGCTTAATTGGTTAGTTAACAGCAAGACAATCATGGCCTACTGATCAATTCTCAATCTGCTTTTTTGCTTTCCTCTGCTCATCCTACTTCAAGTCAACTTAAAATTACAGCTGAAAATCACAAATGAAGTCAATTTTCGAAATGTTAAGATTCTTAGTTGGGAGTGCAAGGAAAATATCAGCAAAAAATATTGGCCCGCATGGTGTATAAAATCATCGTACATACACTAAGTTAGAAAAAGGAAATGAGTATTTTTTTTTTTATCTATGCATCTATTGGAACTCGAACGTCCAACGATTAAGTTGTTATAGTACACGTGATATTACCATACTAAAAACTCGTTTGTGTTGAACAGCTTTCCACATTGTAAGAGAATATGAATCTTTATAAAAGAATAAAAATCTCTAATTTAAATCTAAAGAAGAACAGTATCCTTAAATCTCTTATATATATTTTGTTGTTGTTGCAAACCTTAATGGAAAGAATTAGTACCCCATGCACATGCTTTTGTTCCTCTCTTTTTGTATCCATCTCTACATTACCTTCCTCTTTTTCTATCTTTCCCTCTCTCTCTCTATCTCATGATTAAGATTGCCATGATTGTTGCAAGCTAGGGCCTTTGTAAGGAAGTACTGAGAGAGAGATTTATGGGTACATTGATCTATAATTACTTTGCAATGAAAATGTAAGAAAAGAAATGTGAGGATATGAAATAATCATATGCATATGTGAATCATCATTGATATGCTAAAAATGACTTGGGAGGAATGTTGGGGGGTGATGGGGTTAAATGGGGTAATTACTAATTAGTAAGATCTAAGATGTAGATGAGAGGCTAAAAAGATGGGTAATTAGGATAAGCTTTTCATCAAGACAAAATTATCATAATGTAAAGGTGAAAAATTAATGTGCTTCACACTTAATTGGATTGGGCATGCATGAGGAGGATTTGTGTGTTGCATGATCGGATCTCTTAACCATAATAGTAATCATAATAATTAATGTCCCAAAATTGTGTAAATAATTGGATCGAGTTATCTTCTTCCTCACATTTATGAACTTTCAGGTTTAGTAGAAGTTAGGAAACATATAGTATAGTAATCCAATGTGAGTCTGATGGGATGGGATGGGATTAGGTGCTAACCCTTATAGGGTTTAGCACCGTGATAACTAGCAAAAAACGCTACTAAAAATAACGAAATCACTACGGATTATTATAAAATCAATACAACATCTAAGCTAAATCACTACTAATTCAAACTAGTAGTAGTTTTTCCCTTGGTTAGGACGGTGCTAACTATTGTACAATTAGCACCGTAACTCCTCCCGAGTCTGATCTATCCTTCACGGGGACGAATGAAACTTATATGAAATTTTTTCTAGACATTGGTTGTCTAGAATATATCATGTGAAACTATGTATAGGCCTCAACTTAACAAGGTTGGCCTATGGTATTAAGGTGATAAACATTCAACCCACATTAACTTGGAAGCTTAAGATGAATATCACATTATTAAGAAAACAGTTCAAAACATGAAATCCCACTAGACAAAGGAAAATAGAATGACATACAAACCTTATAGTGTTGGCCTAATTAATACGACTAATGAAATGATAAAACATCTAACTCATTTACTCATATGTACTTGGCAAGAACATTTGATGATACAAAAGCGTAATTCTTGCCTGACCCTACAACCCAATTAACCACAGAAGTCCTTTTTACTGATCATTAAACCGGTACTTAGTTGTGAAAAAGAGTCCATGATCATTAGTTTGGTAGAGTGGATAAACGAGACTTTTGGACTGAATGAAATGAATCCATTCATTTCAACTAAAAAAAAGTAAAACAACAACAATTATCAAAAAATTTCTCTCCATTTATTGGATTGACCAAAGGGGAAACAAACATTTGACATTATGGTTCATTTAATGAAATCCCAATTTTGTCAGGATGATTGAATTGAGTACACTCTGGTGTGTAAATCCTTCTTTTTTTTTTTCCATGCAAATCATTTCAGTTTTGAAATGGGTCTTTAAATTCCATTCATCATCACACAACAAACACTCATAATCATGATTTGCTGCCACTGGCCAACAAGTTAGATATGCAGTCTATAATCTGCTTTTGAGGTCCAAATAATTCAACTCTGTATTCTCATGATACAAATTTTAAGTTTCTGGTGGTGTTGATGAATGAATGAATGAATTAATTATATGCCTCATTATCAAAGTGGGCAGTATAATTAATAAGAATTTATGATGGCGCAAGTCAAAAAAATTGACGGTTATTAGGGTTGAAAAAGTCCTGTGCTTCTAGAGATAGTTTAATTATATGCCTAATTACCACACATGAAGGGAATGTTTGCATCATACATGGTGCTTATGCTATTGTTAGGTCATCTCTAAAATATATTTTCTTTTTAACATGTTAAAGGGGTTTCGCGGGGAGGGGAAGTTCAGCCTAGAATTCCGAATTTGTGATATTCAAATTGACAATTTACGATAGTATCACTAGATTAAATCCTCGTTCGTATTTTTTTAAAATATGAAATCGTTCGGACTTCGACCTTTGACAGAAAAAGAATTCTCAACAAAACCCAAAAATTAGCTATCTAAGACGACCTTTCTAATGTGGTGATACTATAGTTAGTGCAACATTTTTGTGGGTTGGTTTGACTTCTCGTTACTTTCGACCTTTACATTTCCCTAAAAAGATAAATTTTGGAAGAATTTTTTCGATATTGCCTAATGCTTGTGTAATGGATATTTTTATTGATAATTTGAGAGTATAATCATTTTCAAACAACTCATGAATCATGATATCAAATGATTCATTGGTCAATGCAAAACAAAAGGGTCATTGCATTTGATACCAAACGACTCATGCAAATATAGAATGCAAACCCGTCATTAAAACCTCATATAGTTGATATTAACCCATGTACGACTAGGTTGGGGGCTATTTGGTCCCCGTTTGGTCCACAACAAACATTAATACAAATTTTAGGGTTCTAGAAAGTATGAAAATCTCAAAGAAGGGAAAGCAAAAGGGAAGATGTACACTAGCCATTTCTCCTTCTTTAGGTCACACAAGCTACTAATTTCAGCCATTGAGTGGGCATAGATATAAGTTATAACGTACCATAAAGTTGCGGCCAGAGAGAATACAAATGGAAATGGCGTGCTTGGACTGATATACTTCAAATAGTATAGTAGGTATCCCCCCCTTCATTCATTCAATTCTGGGCTCTCTCTTTGTAATAATTATTAGCCTTGGGAACTAGCTAGGTATCCCAAAGACGACATGTTAGATTCCAAACATATGTTCAACTCATTTCAAATGTAGTAAACAAAAATACACATGATGATTAAACGAAAATGATGATCGTTGATCAGTATAGCCTGTGATGATCGTACACAGAGTTCGATGCTAGTTCCAAGAGAGGGAGAATGAAATTGAAGAGAGTTCTTGGCGAGGCTATGATTCTAAGTATGAAGGAATTTAGACAATTGGGTCGATTTCAAAAAAAATATGATTCTCGTAAATGAATCGATTTCAATAATATAACATTGTTTGGACATCGATTCCAATAACTATTAATTTATTCCAAGTCTCATTTTTAGATGAGCTTTCAATTTTCAATCCCCATAGGTTTTATAACATTAGTTGAAAAAGAATTAAAAGGAGATATTTTGTAGAATATGTTGATTCTCCAATTCCCCATTTTACTGACTAATTGCAACTCCCAAATGGGACTTTAGCTTTGCCATGGAATAGAAGCTACCAGACAAGATGTGTAATTGTGTGTGCATATGAATCATTGGTTTATGTTCAAAGATTCAGTTAGGATTGGACTGGATATTCCAGAAAAAAACAGAAAAGAAAAGCTGGCTAGATTCTCATTAGATGTGGATAGCTTGGCTTTCAATATCGCCTGTGATATATTCTTCTTCCTTCTCTGGCCCTTTTCTTTTTGACAACCCCTTCCCTCCCTCCTCTTTTTAGAGAGGACAAAGGCTATATGTTACCTCGAAAAAGTGAGATTATTTTAGAACTGCATAGTGCATATCCACTCGATTAGTCCTTGCAATGTTCAATAGCACAGGAAAACAAGTATTTCCATCTCCTCTGTGTTTTTTTTTTCCTTCTATATGTGTATAGCGCGGTGTACCACTCTTTCATGGTCGATGGGTTCCCTAATTTCGTTATTCCGTATTTTTAACAAAAAATGATCTTCTATTACGTGAATTACCCGTTTAGGTTTTCTATTTAAAGTTCCATTCCAAACTGTCGCTGATAAAATGAGTATTTGTGCTTAGTAAAAACACATAAGGTTATTCATATGTCATGATTATGCTAGAAATGTCGTATAATGCACTCGCCACTCTCCTTTTCTCTCTTCAGCCTACCAATCTTCGAACCTTTAGACCAATGGCTTAATACGAACTTTGAAGTTCATACTAATCCAACTCGATTGTCCAAGGGACTAGTTAATGTACTCTCAATTTAACTATAAAATTTCACTTGCAATTTAAAATTTTGGTGATATACCCATCATCTGGGGTAGGCCAGATCGAAGAGCAAAGCATAGAGTTATATGGGAAATGTTTTTCGGAGTATCGATAAACCTCACGAGTCACGAGTAATGAATTTGATCGAGCTTCGGAACGAACGGATTAGAATTATACAAATGATATTATAGAATTACTTATTTACAAGATTTTAGTTTAACTACATATATATATGCAGGCTATTTCCCTTAAGAGACATATCACATCTCAGTGACCTTGGTCCCTACTTATCTCTAGAATATAATCATGTACCACTCTGAAAAAGACAACAATCATACATAATGCTTTTTTGGGTTGAAGAGTTATAATCATATATATATGTATAGAAAAATCACCCTACCTCCTTGTTCTACATTATTAGGCATTATTACAAACCGTACACTCTTCTGCCCTACTACTTCTACACATGCCTAGCTAGCAACTACTCATAATTAAGTCCATTTATATTATTTCCATAATTCGAATTATAGTTTGATCCATCTCGATCTGTTATGTAACTCTATGTTGACCGTTCTTCGTACGTGTGGTATGATTGATAATACGATTTCGATTTGCGCAGAAGCTACTACCGGTGCACGAAGGACAGCTGCAGGGTGAAGAAGAGAGTGGAGAGACTGTCCGAGGATCCAAGAATGGTGATCACAACGTACGAAGGCAGGCATGCACATTCCCCATCCCACGACCAAGACGAAGACGGCCACTCTCCTTCTCATCTCAGCAACTTTTTCTTCTAATAATTAAAATATATATATAATTAATGAACCTAATGATTAAAAGAAAATATATATGTATAATTTACTTGTTATTTTTTCGTTCGATAAATCTTCGATCTATGTATGTATATGATCGTCTGTATTAGTTACGTTGGTACGTGCTTTGTTTTGCGCCTTTGAATTTGCTATATGGTTTCTCGTGAACGATAATAACCGGGCCGGGGCTGCTGCTTACTTTTTCAGTCTTGTTTGAGAATGGGCTTGCATGCATGCATGGGCTTCCAAAGACATCAGGTCCTTTATGGACCAGCTCATTTTCTCTAGTCCGGCCGTTGTTGGCCCAAAGCTTCATCGGGCTTTCCTCCTTGGATGCATATAGAAGACTTCCAAGCACCTAAAACAAAGGTTCAGGAAAACCGTACCGGAGGTGATACTGGTAAAGTGAGTGGTAGTGTATTTTGTATTTAAATCATAGTTTAACTACGATTGAACCGTTTTTCCTATCGTTAAAATCGTCTATCATTTTGGGTCTGGTATACTGTATTTTCGATCCGACCGGCCGCGGTTGGGTAGTGTTTCCTAAAACCTTGCTAAAAGCTAGTTCATTCTTAGTGTGTTGACCAGGTATTCCAATAATGTGCTGACCCTAAAAACTATTACATTCTTAGTATGCTGACTCGATATCCTAACAGATATATCGTAAAGCAATGCAGTTAAATGTGCCATTCTACGTAGAAATTTAAAACCATAAACTTTTAAGGTTTCAAGTGTAGGTTTTAACTTTTAATTATACTCGTAAGTAAAAAGCGCTATTCTACATAGAAGATTTCGATGATCCAAAAATGTAAAAGGATAAGTATTCTACAAGTAAAAAGCCTCGTTGCACAATGAGTAACCCGATTTGAATATAAAAAAAAAAAAAAAGTAAACGATAAGCCAACATAAGCTCCAAGCCTCCAACTGATCCTTAATTTAGCCAACATATTTTATATTTATACGTGATTCTCAGAAATTTCGAGGACCATAGTCTAGCTCCACCCCTGGTTAGTGAAAACTGAAAAGTGATACTAGCCTATTACCCGGCCCGTTGGCCGGATTACTGTATGTTACCCACTTGTGGAATAGGAGAGAAAGCAAGTGAGAGTGAAGGGATTGAGATTCCACTTGATTAGGACCGACCCACTAATCCGATTCTTCCCGACCCGCCCCAACCTAAAGGGTCAGAAAGAGTCAATAAGAAAATACGAACGGAGAGGATTAGTCATATTCATATATCTTGACTCTTCAGAAGTGGGTCAAACAGGATCAAGGTTGGGTGAGGGAAATTTTTAGCGCTAAGCAGAGTTCTGGGTTGAATAACTTTACTTAGGCCTAGAAATTGGTGTTGATGCAGACTGCAGTTTTTATTATACCATCATCAATCATCATTGAATTAGTCCTGGGCATCCCTCCCCGTTGTCGGTCTGAATTCTAATGATGGCTCCGTTCCTTGCACCAGCCTTATCAGCGAGTTGTCATCTCGAGCATGATTTGCCTATGTACAAATGATACAATTAGAGTATGAAACTGAATTCAAAGAAAAGGAAAAGAGATTTCTATCACATGCCAATAAATACACACATAATAGTTGAAGCTAAGTGAAAGTCATTACTCGCACATCAATTCTCAAAAATTACAGACTAAACAATGGCTAGAATGGCCTTGAAACTACCAAGAATCATGGACGAAACAACTTGTCAAATTAAATAATCCTTATACTGAAACTACCTTCTAACTTGAAATAAGACATGATCACAGTTCATAGCTCTCTTCTCACTATGAATTGGTTGCAGCTCGTCCTTATCACTGCCTCCCAAGCTCAATTCAAACAGAATAGAGACCGTTATGTAAGATAACCATATCCTTACTGATCATAATTCCTTTCTTCACTCCATTTTTGTCAGAGAAAAGAGTTACCCCCCTCTCCTGCATTTCCCTTTCCCCTTCTCTTCTCCCTCTTCTTCACAAACCGATCCCTAAACCAGCAACAACAACACAAAAATAACCTTCGCCTCTGCCATCTCCATCTACTGAACGCGTTGGTGGCAAGACAGGACTGCAGAAGCAAAATTTTCTAAAATCAAACTAAATTTTTTGAAGGAGACTCAACCACGAAAAAATAGTAAAGCAACAATGCTAATAGTTCAGATGGTTGGTTTTGATGTTATACATTGCTTTTGTTCTGGTCTCCAGTATATCAACTGCAATAGAGATGTTTCCTCCAATCATCTTTAGTGCACGATTTAGAAGCAAGTCCTCCTGTTTGTGTCAAACGGAAACATTCATGGGTTCTTAACTCCCCTGTTAGTGTAAAAGCAGCAGCAACAACAAAGAAGTTTGACAACACAGCAAGCACCCATGCAAAATGATACAATGCAGTAGGTGATATGTGTCGAAGGTTTTGAGTTACTAAAGTTCATGTTAAAAATAAACATGAATTAAAATGGATTATTCTATTAAGCAAACATCCCCTCCAATCATAAAAAGATCAAATATCCAATTCACAAACAATTAAGCCATAAAAAATCATCACACATCCACCACCTTTGATTGCCTAAATTTGGTTTTTCGCAAAAGTTATGGACTCTTAAGGGAAACGTTCATGGGTAGTCTGTTTCATAACTCTAGAGAGTAAGTAGCCACCAGCAAGACACAGTGCGGTAGGCGAATATGATTCTCAATTCACAATTTCTCACCACCGCAAGTAAGAACAGACCATAATAAGCGTAGCGTTCATGGGTGGTCTGTTTCATAGCACTACTACACAATTTGTTAAAAAAGAAAGAAAGGTATTTAGCACCACGGCGGAACAACTTTTACAGGCCAACAACGACAACATGCTGCAACCACCAGAACTGGTATCACAACTCATAGGGAAAATCAAAAGATTTACTCTCAAATTAAGCAGTTACAACATCGAGCAATTGTCAAGCACATACACCATCACAAAAGTCACGGAACCTGATTCACAAAGCATTAAAACATTTGAGGACATTTCTGCAAAGGTACAACTTATATGTCTTTTTTCCAAGCCATTTCCATCAAAATGCTAATAAATTTGCAATGCATAAAACAAACGGGCCAAAACTTGAAATTCAGCCTGTTTGACGACCCATGCCAAATTCTAATTATTCTTTACTTTTAAACTTTCTATTTGAAAATAAAAAATAGTGAAAGAAAAGAGACGACTACAATTCGCCATTTGCACATCACTTATTCAGTTATTCGGGAATAAAACCATAGAAATTCAAAAGGAACTGAAAATGTTTAGGATCGTTATAATGTTTAAAATAACCAAATAGATCTTTATGTTTAATTTTTTTACTAACAAATACCAAACGATTCCCTATAAAATACACTATAATTTGATCATTATGATATCAAATAATTATAAAATATATATTTGAAATGATAAAAATTGGACTAATTGTGTTGGTCGAGGTTGAACCATTGAATAACTTTAAAATACATTATATTTTAGCCACTAAGATATAAAATAATAGCATAATATATATTATGTCAGAGAAATTAGCTTATTTTAGAATGACAAACCAATGATGTTCATTTATTTTACTTGATGGCCAAATCCCATGTAGGTCAGACACATTCAACTCTTTTATTTTATGGTTGGCGGTTAGCCCATTAGATACCATGCATTAGTTTATTGTTAAATATTTTATTTTTAACAATAAAAAGGAGTATTATTTTTACCTTTTCATATATATTTTGTCACCACGGAGAAATAAAAGGGCTTAAAGAAAAGAGAAAAATAATTGACACTCCCTATTCTACCCTTCCTACAAACGCTCATGGAGCAGAGAATTTGAAATGGGGGAAGGGTTTTTTCCTCCTTGCTATTATATGTTTTTAATTTAAAAAGATACAACAAATGTGCTTAGTGTGATTGGTTATTATCCTTGCTTTTCTTTAAAATGGTCATGGTTCGAATCCCAGTACGTGTCTTTTTAATGAATAAAAAAATGTATTGTGAAGACCAAAATGTCCTTCCTACTTTCACTCTCGTTGCAGGAAATTTGAAATGGGGCTCCCGTTTTTCCCTTCGGCGTATTATATTATGTGTAGATTGGTGGTTAATGTCGATGAGTGAAGCGGCCACATGCCAGAAAGTGAGAGATGGAGAGTGAAATTTGGAATTTAAAAGTAAAATACTTTGGGCATCGCACTTAAGTTTGAGAATTGGATAGACATACTATATAATTTTGATTTGGGTGTCGGGTACCACTAAACTCTATTAATATGTACACACGGTACCACTTAAGTTTACTGATAAGTGTATTCCGTTAAAGTTGACAGAATATTCTTTGAATATTTCATTTTCTTAATTTCATAATTGGTTCTTCTACTTTTCTTATTGTAAAAAAATCATTTTGACTTATGAAAAACATCATTTTTAATTGTTTAGTTAGAATCCTATTTAGAATACTTAATACCAAACCAATTTTTGAATAGAAAATTTAGAATCAATTATAATAATAATTCTTTTCAATTATCATTATGTGTTCTAATAATTGAATTATTTCATGAATGTTGTAACTAAACAATGTTGTAGCTTTTATAGACATATTTTCTTTTCTACTTTTTTATCGAATGTAGTAGCTTTTATATTTTATTTATTATTTGGTTACTTTCATTACTTTTCGTTCTTAATTTTTTCAATTAGTGGAATATGTTTTCTTTCTGATTGTGTTCCATTTATCCTTCTTTGAGTTTGATATATTGATGATCGATTAGGTTCTATTTTAACTATTTCTAATGGTGATTCTAATTGAATTAGGGGGTTTAATGTGATATTCTAATATTTATTTTAAATATTTATTATTATATTCTAGTATATTTATTCTTCTTCTTGATATTCATTTATTATTTGTACTAATTTATCTATTTTATTGACAAATTTGATTAATCATTCTAATAATAATATGTTTAGAAGGTTTTCTAATTACAATATTAGATAAAACTTGTTGAAATATAGTTTTGGATGTTTTTAAAAGTTTTATGTTTTAAAAAGCAATTAAACGTTTGGGTTGGATGAAAAAGTAGACGGATGCATATTTTGGCGACATTAATGGTACCCGACGGCCTATTCTAATTTAAGTGGTATGTCTACCCCAATTCTCAAACTTAAGTGGTACCCGAGATATTTTACCCGAAATTTAAACTCTAGAGAGTGGAGAAGAGGTAGATCGATCGATCAGATTGAGCGGATTAAGCTTGCTGGGCGGGCTTGGGACAACATGAGTTTGGGACTAGTCGGGTGGGCCAATTTTTTGATATTTCGCCCACGAATTAACCATTTGCTTAATGGTTTCATAGAATTGTTTAAAATCGGACCAGTTCGTGATAGATTTTTAACCATAT